TTATGGGGATGTGAAAGACGAGAATACGCTTGTAGGCCAACTTTTGTCGGAATGCAGGCTGGTACTGCACAATAGGACTCAGACCTTTGATGTACATTGCACCAATTTCTAACACCATAAAATCCCCTTACCCATCCCACAATCAACCCTTATCACTACTAAAGGCCAGACACTCAGGGTGGGCACTGCCAGGGTTTCCTTAAGTAATTTCTTTATTGTCCTTTCTTTATGCCATTTCTTTACGTCCTTTCGTTATGWTCTCCATCTATGTCATTTATTACTGAACGGAGCACGGGAAAAGCTGTTTTATTTGTTGCATTATATAGCTACTAGTTTTATTTCGGTTTTGAATTTATTTATGCAAAAAGAAAAACGATCGCAGGATCTAGCAGCACTTGATGTGCGCAGATGGCATCAGCACTGTGCTCTGTTCACTAAACAGCAGAGTTTTCGACCAAGCAGCGTTTGCGTACTATCCTAACTATATGATAAATTCCAATATTATGCCAGTTTTCTTGAATAAGCAATCTTTTGATACCTCTGTTTTCTGAATTTCTGAAATGGGCACATATTATGAAGTCTACCAACTTCCTGATCCGTTGTTTAGCAAGATGGCTAAGTGTCAGAGTTAGTCAAACTGATTTTGACCCTTCTAGTTCTTTAAACTTCTCAAATTATTATGATCGGAGGATAAAGCTTGAACATCACTGAATAAAGTCAAGTACATATTTTATAAAGGCCGATGTTATAAAAAAACTAGCTCGAAAGTGAGTCTGTCATTCAAGTGAAATCGCACCTTGTTGTACTGTTGCGTCACATCACCCTTCTTTTGATCTTGAGGACTTCACTAACTATTTGAGAGGTAAATCACAGAATAAAAAGTAAAGTTTATAAGTGTTGTTTATTAACCGAATATTCTGAAGAAAGAGGAAACCAAAGACCTCAGATAAGTGATATCCTGACATTTTTAGACATGTTTTTTAGCATTCCTAAGCTAAGCGATCTAAAACTGTTCTTGCTATAGCAATGGGATATATATATATCAAATATTTGTGAGAAATTTTTCATGGCTTGAATTTCCAATTTCGAAGTGAGGAGAACGCCTAATAAAGTATGATAATCATTGATTTTAATTGGTTTTAAAATAAGTAATTTGGTTAAGTTGAATTGAAGTGAAGTTATAAGAGTTGAAAACGAACAGACTTCAACGTTTAATAAGCAATTTTTTATGTGGGCGAAATGGTCTGTTGGCGAAATAGTCTGAAGTGTTATGGACACTTCTCGAGTGATCTGTCAATCTGTAAGGAAGTTTTTTATTTCTTTCATAAATATGAATTACAGCAGTTACGAAACTGAAAGTGTGTGTGTGTTGTGTGCTCTCATAAAGAATGCGCTCCCAACCAATCAGAATCAGATTTAGAACAGTTATTTTATAATAAGTAATGACTATGATCAGGCAAAGCTACAATAAATATTTTATAAAAAGAGAATTATTAAATTGAAAAACTCTTTTCAAATCTACAGTATGAAACTTGATTACATTTGGCCATGATAAAAGTCCTTGGCTCAATGTGTGATAATAATGATGATGATAATAATAATGATAGTAATCATGATAATGATAATGATAATGATAATGATAATGATAATAATAAT